AGGAGAGCAGATCAGGAGAAGGTGATCAGGGGGAGAGGGAAAACAATTGCCACTAAATTATATTATTGCAGAAGTTAGTGTTTGGAATGTTCTGGTTTGGGAGCTGCGGAATTAATGCAGAGAGGAGCAAATTGAGTCTGTTTATACTGGCATTAGGGTCTTTTAAAGGAGAATTGTCAGCACTTCTTCTTGAGCTGTACAGATGCGTTAACCTTGCTCCCAATGGCATTAAACTACGTCAGTTTTGTAGAACAGTATTGGTAATTAGGGAGACAATGTGGACTCAGCCTGTGCATCACATTTTACTGTCTGTTTGTCTTTGCTACATATGGATACAGATCAATGATTCCACAGACATTTTGGATTAAATGCTATATCTGAGTTGGGTTTTGTGAGTTAGGGCACATTGATCCTCAGTAATCTGATGCTTAATGAATGGCACCACATCATTTCTAATCAAGAGTTCAAATACTGTAACTTTATGAAAATAGTCTTTCCTCAATGTGCTACTGAGTGAACACACACTGTTAGTACTGGGGTCATTTGAGGACTCTTTGTTAATGCGGAGTCCTGTAGCTCAGTGGTTAGAGCACTCGCTTTGTAAGTGAGAGACCTGAGTTCAATTCCAGTCAGGGCGAAACCTTGGGGAAGTTTCCTTACTCCACACAGAGCCTAATAATAATAATAATAATAATCCCTCCAAAAAACAACAATAATAAATTGGTCATTTTCAATCTACGACTGTTTGTGGGACATTGCTGTGCGCAATTGGCTGCCGCGTTCGCCCACAAATATACAGTCAATTCAGTTTACAATGTGTTCTGTGAAGCGCTTTGGGACGTCCTCCTGACGTGAAAAGCGCTATATCAAATGCAAGGATTATTATTACTGATATTCACAACTAGGGAGATGGGAGGTAATTAGCTGACTACACCCTGCATATCCATTCCTCCTTTGGTTTAGTCTTGCTCTGCCTATACCATACCCATCCAAAGGACAACCAGTCCAGATTAACACTCTGGAGTCAGAAGCAGAAAATATTCAAGAACATTACTTCAATATGTTTTAATTTAACCAAAGTTGTCAACAGTTTAACAAACTGAATGCCTGACAGTAGCCATTAACTGTAGGGAGATTGGAACAGACTCCGTCTAATATAGGGATCTATTTGAGATGATACTACCCTGAAAAGCTGCCTTTTGTGCTGAGTTTAATGTACCAGGATTTCTAATGGAATATTACTCTTCATGACATCGCTTCCTGATCGCCTGAAGCTGCTTGTAATGTCTCGCTGTTTCATACCGTTAAACAGATTGTAATTGTTTTAGGAAGGTGAAGGTTTTACAACAGTACACCCAGTTATAGTCTGCTGAATGGGGCATTCACATGGCAGATTGTTATGTTCGCTATCTGTCGCCGTGCATCTTGTCTCCTATAGTTACTCGAAGCAACGAATGGTAACACAGCATACACAGTATTCCAGCTAAAATACAACAACTATAGCGCTGCATCTGGGGTAAGGTACAGTCGAAGGCTGGCAATTTGGCAGAGTTGGAGGAAGGCGTTCCTGGTCAGAGACCATATGTGGGGAAGGAAGGACAGCTGTGGGTTGAACCTGACGCCTAGGTTGTGCGGTTTGGTGAGTCTGAGGGATACGCAGTAAGTGCCATGATTTGGTGCTCTGTGCGACACGTCTCAATATACAAATATCTACCTTTTTTCCCCCAGTATAGTCGTCCTGTCAGGATAATCCAATGTAAGCTTCAGTCATGTTAGTGCAAAATGCTGACTTGTCATCATGTTGTGACAGTTAGGTGACTGCAGGTCAAACTACAGCAATGATGAAGTGTTTTAAAACACCCACAGTCTTATACAGCAGTGACACCCACACTCAGTTTGGTTGAACTGCTCTGATAGTTTGACTTCATCAGGACCCTCATTTGAGTGGCACTAGAAATCCTCCATTCCATTCTACTCCATGTTTAATGGCGAAGATTTGATGGTGGCACAAGTTAATTAAAGTTGCAAGTTAATTTCTTGGGCAAGATTAGTACAAAGAAACCTAGCAATGTATTGAAGGAAATCAGACCAACTGAGAAATCCCATGCCAGGAAGCTGTTGCAATGCATCTGAGTCTAGCATATTTAATTTAAAAACAGATGTCAGTAGTCCTTAAAATCCTAAACTGTATGCGTGCATGTATCACTCGCACATAGTGAATGGCGTGTTTTCTCTGAAGCAGCAATTTGCCCTCTGATGCCACTGTGTGATTACAAGAAGTATTGCAATTTAATTGATGTAACTGAGGAAGAACCACAAATCAGATGAAGGTGTCTGTGCATGTTTTGTCCCTCCACTTTGGGAATCTCCCTTGCCTGCTCATTACTATTATAAAGCTTTTGCTGGAGGTAGGTGGGAGAGGGAGTAGCACATCAAGGGGTTGATTTGGCACTATAATATTCAAGCAGTTTGCTATCCTTTCAGCATTTTGATATATACAGTGGAAGCTGGTTAAGCTGGACGCACTGGGGACAGACATTTTATCTGACTTATCTGTCCGAGGTTAGCTGAAATACCAGTCCCGCCCAGCAGAGGAGCTGTAGCGGCACCATATAACATGTAATAATGTTTCACTTGAAGCAGTGTTAAAACTAAAATACTTTCACACAATTCAGTAAAATATATTTACCTTTGTTTGGCTGCAAAATACAGTCCAGTACCAGCAGAAGAGCGGTGCTGCTTCCTCCCTCCCATTGCCGTTCCATTGGATGGGAAGGGGACCAATTCGTGCCCATTCACAAGCGGCTCAGCAGTCAATCAATCATGATATTCCCTCCCTAATTGTTCCCTGTTCCTCTGCCCTTCACTGATTGACAGCCCAACTCCAGCCACTTGTGAATGGCTGGAGTCCGCTGTCAATCAATCTTAGACTTTTTCCACCTCTATCCGGGAGCCCCTCATGGCTGAAGACTCGACACAGAAGTGAGTGAGTACACCAGTGGTGACCAGCGTGGCATTTTGCCCGGATTAACTGGATTTTCGTCCAAATTAATAGGCATATTTAAAATGGGTAAGCGTACAAATGAATTGGGGCCGGGCGTTTTGTTCGATTTACCTGACTTCTGGGGTGAATTGGCATCTGGCAAAAGCTGATTCCACTGTGTGTATATACACTATGTGTGTGTGTGTGTATTTAATATATATATATATACAGTTCACGCTCTGTGTTGACATATCTCCTAAAGGGGATTTTTCCAATTTTAGCAATTACTCTCTTTCTATTCCTGTGGTTCAGACAAAAGCATGGCATGCTTCTGCATTCAAACTGTTTTTCAACAAGTGTTGAAGACAGCACTGGATGACTGGTAGCTTGGGTATCTTACAAAATGGATCATTGGTATTTTGTTGCATTTCCATGTCGAAATATAGCAATTAACCTTTGCTACACCTCATACACCCTTCTGTTAGTCAATTAAATGTGCTAATAGGCCTGGAATGCTGGAGGAATTCTTTTAAGCATCAGTTTCCTTGTACTGCAAACAGTGTACACAACCACTTATGTAAAGGTCTTTCAGTGCTGCACAGATCTGGACCACACACAACTTCTAAGAAACTCTGTATTTTGCTCCAAATCATGCAGACTTTAAACTTGGATGTTCCACATTCATGTGCTGAACAAAAAGAACCCACTGGTTCTTGCCTTGGGTTCAAAACTTCTATTAACTTGTGTTCTACTATCCCCCTACCTACCTGCCCGTATCCTCCGTTCCTCTGGCTCCGGTCTGCTCCACATCCCCCGCCCCAACCGCCTCTCAGCCCCGAGGCTCTGGAACTCTATCCCCCAGTGTCTTCGCCGCCTCCTCCCTTTCCTCCTTCAAGGCCGGTCTCAATACCTTTCTCTATGACCGTCCTTCAGCTCTCCTCTCGACTCTCTACCCCCTCCTCGCCCCCTCCCTTCCCTCTCCTCACCCTGACCATTTCCCCCCTGCTCGGGTCCTGACCCAACTGTACAGCGCCTTGGGACGTCCTCCCGACGTGAAAGGCGCTCTATAAATGGAATCTTGTTGTTGTTTTGAACATTGTTGCAACAGATTTCAAAATCATTATCCATTTTATAAACTGTCCATAATAGTGCCAGGTGGCTGGGAGCACTGTAATAAAAAGTGAAACTTGTGTTTTGATGTCACACTGGATCTAGTTCTGTAAAAATAATACTTGTATGTGATATAGTAACTTTCATGTCAGGAGGGCATCTTGAAGCACTTCACAGGATATACTCTAAAGTGTAGTGACTAATTTATAGGCAAATGTGGCAGCCAATTTGCACAAAGGAATGTCCCACAAACAATCACTAAGTTATTTCATAATATTATTTGGGGGTTTGTTATCCAGGACACCAGGACAAACTACCTTCTCTTTTCAAATACTACTATTGGATCTTTAATGTCCACCTGTAAAGGCAGACGGGGCCTTGGTTTATTGCCTCATCTGAAGGACGGCCCCTTCAATAATACGGCATTCGCCCAGCACTCATTGGACTGTCACCTTAGACTGTAAATTCAAAATCCTAATGTGGGGCTTGAACCCTCAGAGGTGAGAGTGCTACCAACTGAGTCAGGCTGAAATAAAAGATGCAAATAATATAACTGTATAATCAACAACATCCCCAATATTTTTATGTGTATACTTTATACTTTAATCTGTCTGCAGAAAGTCTAGTTCAGATTACAGCAATTTTTCATATAAAAACTATTATTTTTCATTATTTTATGGCTTTCACGGCCTGTAAATTGTATTGTAATGTCACGTTGTATTTATCTGCACTGTAAAATGCCCTCCTAAATGGACCTGCAAATCCAATCTATTTTTGGTTATAAAAGAGAATAGAAAGGAAAAAAAATTGCCATTTTGACTCTGACCACATGTGTAGCTGCCTCCTGCAGGTTTCCCTTTGCTTTACAAGCAGTGGAAGCTAAGTGTTCCTTTATATTTGTTTGCAGCACCCACAGATTCAGAAGAAGTCACAGTACATCAAGTATCTCTGTTGTGACGATGTTCGAACTCTTCATCAGTGGGTCAACGGCATCCGCATTGCCAAGGTAAGTGCAGGTTTTTCCTCCATAGCAAAACGTTTCTACATTGTGTTTGTGGGTTGGAAGACTTGCAGTGAATTCAACGCAAACTAATGCCACTATATTGACAGCTTTTAAAGAGCCTATAAATATTAACAACATTGCGAGAGAAGTTTGGTTATGGAAGACTCTTCCAGACTATCCATCCTAATCGTTTCTCATTACAGCAGCCAGCTGTTTCTAAAACAAGTCCTGGTATCTATTACCCTCTATAAGCTATTTGGTATAGGAATAGAAATACCATGCTGATGGAATGGGGGCACGTTGTGAGGTTCGGGTTAAGTTATGAGTGGAGGGAGCTTGGTCTGTGTTGTGCCTAACCTGAGAGAGTTCAATACCAACATTAAATGCCATAAGTGTTCCTTTCTGTGATATTGATTTCTTTCCCTTCCCCGCATAATTGCAAAATAAAATATTAAGTTTTCTTTTTTTTCTTGTGAAATGGGAGTTTGGCTCTCTAGTCATGTTAGAGCAGAATATTATTGCCACATCAAACATTCCCTTCCCTTTGAAACTTTGAATCCAATGTTAGAGATTACAGCTCAGTGAATTCTTTATCTTAGAGGTAGAGTTAATTAATAGCTGTGAATTCTCACCCATACAAATAGAATTACTTTTGAGAACATTCTTCAAAGCACAGAAACACTTTGCAGTAGGTCAGAATGGGGGATGATTTTGGTTATGTAAATTTTAAGCTGCTTTCTTTGTTACATCAGTATTAGTATTCTCATTCTCACCCGCACTAAACTCCGTACCCCAATTACCCCAGTCCTTGCCAAACTCCATTGGTTCCCTGTCACAGAGTGGATCAACTTCAAGATCCTCACTCTAGTATTTAAAACCCTCCACCTTGGCACCCCCTATCTCTCCAACCTCCTCTCTCCTCACAGCACTTCCCGCTGCCTCCTCCTTGTCTCTCAAAGCCTCTGCTCCACCATTGGCGGCCATGTCTTCAGCCATTATGCCCGAAAGCTATGGAACTCCCTCTCTCAATTCCTTTGCCTTGCCCCCTCTTTCCCTATTTTTAGGTTGCGCCTGAAGACCTTCCTCTTTGACTGTGTCTATGGTCACCTTCCCCCTCCCCCTAGCTCGGCATTGGGCTCCACCATTATTAAGCGCTCTGGGACGCCGCCCAGCATGGAGGGCACTGTATAAAAGTGTTGTAGTAGTTTGCGAAGTGTTATGCTGAGGTATGATGTTTGGAAGCTACGTGCTGCTTAAATACAGATATCCAAATCTATTGAGCTGCTCTGTTCAACCCTGGAATCATTGTTTCAAAGTCAAGGGAAGGTTGGGTGTGTCTGCTCCAAAATAGCATGGAGAAGTTGCTGGAGTCCGCCCTTATGGACAGATACATCTCAGAAATGCAATGCAATATGCAAGTCGATTATTTGACACTTCCTCTTACGTTACAATAGAATTTACCTTTGTATGATTGCACATTCTCGTTGTGAAATGACCCTAATAGTTACATCTTCCTACAGTATGGGAGGCAACTCTATGATAACTACCAGGAGGCTGTGAAGCGGGCAGAGACTGCATACGAGTGGTCCTCCCTGTCCAGTGCTAGCATGAAATCTGGGTCCAGTTCTTCCAGCTTGCCAGGTAAATGCACCTTGTAGTGTAAGGTATCTTACAGAACAAGACAATGGTGTCTAGAATGTACCAATTTCAGATAAAATTTCTCAACAAAGGAAATAAATTAGTTTGGAGCAACATTCCTGCCTCCCGACGTGAGCAACTTCCCAAGCAACTGGTGGAAATGCTTGTGGGAGCAGACGCTGCAGACCTACCATTGGCGGGCTAGGCTTCTGCCACTCTGCCCCCACCCTCTGGCACTCCATCCTGCAGTCCCTCCGCCTCTCCCCCTCCTTTGCCTCAAGACCCTCCTCTTCGACCGTGCTTTCGATCACCCTCCTCCCCCCCCCCCCCCCCCCACCCTCCACCATCCCGACCCTCGGCTCAAGTCCGAAACATTAACTGTCCAGCCCTTGGGATGTCCTCCCGACGTGAAAGTATTGTATGTAATTATTTCTTGTTGCTGTTGTTTCTGTATGTCTGCGCAGTGTGGCTTTATGATGTCATTGGAAATCTGACGTCCCCGTTAATACTAACTATACTGTAACCTGTTATAATCGTGGACTGTATGACTGGACTAGCTTTACCAGATCTGAAAGAATCAAAGACTTTGTGAAGGTTTTTGTCAGTCAGATTTGTATCCAAGTGATTCTGATCTGTAGTCAGTTTACTGCACATCGGGCGTAGTAATTTTGGCTCTAGGCTCAGAAGTTAAGGTTAGTGTCACTGCTGTCCCAACCGAGATTAGTCAGCAGTAGATAGAGTGTAAGGATTGATACATGAACCTTTCACGTCTGTATTGCTCCATTCCATACTGAACTGTCTTGACTAACTGAGCCATCGGACAAGCCAATGCAAGGTTATAATATGGCTTGCAAAATGGCAAGACGAGTAGTCTTGTGAAGGAAACCTGAAAATATGGGCCTCACTAGCCACCTGGCAAACATGTACAAAATGTTTGACTTGTCTCTTCTTTTTGCATAGAATCACACTCAAATCATTCCAGCCAGTCAGACAGTGGTGTTTCTGACATACAGTCCACAGGCCACGTCCGTTCCCAGAGCATAGTCAGCTCCATTTTCTCAGAGGCTTGGAAGAGAGGCACTCAGCTGGAGGAGCAGCAGCATACCAAGGTAAGGTGCCCAACACCCAGTCTGGTGAAACTGAAGCACTGTTGAGGTCTAATAGGAGGACTTTTCGATTGGCTGTTCCATAGAACCACAGCAACTCCAATCCAGAAGTAGACTGCTTCAGAGCGGAGTTGTTGGTCAATGTTAATGCATCCTGTGGCTAGTGTTAATGCTTACCATCAGACGAGCTTTGGAATGTGGCATTCTTTACACTTTCTTTGCCAATTGTTTTCTTGCCTTTCTCTCCCAGTTACCTTGCCTGAAGCAGGTCAGGCGCCTGTGTGGGAATGTCGATTTGGGCAAGTATCATGACTAAGATGATGCTGTTTAGCAAGGTCATTTGGGTGAGGTACTGGAGAGTGATTCCAACTTACTTTTGTCCACTTATTTGTGGTTCAAACTGAATACCTGTATACTCAGCACATCGCTCGGAAGCAGGGGTTGTTGGAGAAGCAGAGTTGCATTTTGTCCCCACACAGATTTATGCCTCAAGTTCTGCCCCAACATTCCAACATGGATCAGCATTCCTGCTGAAACTGTATCTGTACCTTAAAATCATTCTATCACTCAGGCTGCACCTCAGTCCATTCAAACTCATTTGCATCTAATAAAATGTTGTGCAGTAAGTTTGCACAGAAAGATTGTCATTTGGGTTGTAGCATTGGAATTGAGAATGCAGTGCTTTGTTGCTTGTTACAATGGGGTGCAGAGGGTGGGATGCAGTCCGTTGGGTGAACCTATATTGTTCCGTTCATTCAATTGCTGTAACTATTTATAAAGCTGTCTCTGAAGAATCAAGTGTCATAAAATAAAAGCATTCTCACAGGCAGGACATTTCCAGAGGTTTCTAAATAGAACCTATTCTGTGCAAAATTACAGGAATAAGAAAATTGTACTGGACTAATAATGTAAGTATAATTCTCTGGAACGTCACTCCCAATAAAGGTTACATTTAAAGGTGCTATACTCATAGCCAGCTAGGTTTATTTATGTGTGGCTAAATCAGACTTGCTCTTCCGGTGACATCTGTAAGTAGGAACCCTGTTGTTAGTCGATTGGCGGATCGCTTTTCCGGGTTAATAATCCCTCAAAAAAAATAATAATTTGGTTACTCAATCCTTGATTGTTTGTGGGAAACTGCTGTGCGCAATTGCTGCCGCATTTCGCCCACAAATATACAGTCAATCACTTTAGGGTATATTGTCAAGGGCTTTTAGACATCTAGAAGATGTGAAAAGCACTATATTGAATGCAAGGATTATTATTATTATACATTGGAGCTGAATTGCAGCTTACATTGTTTTTCTAAATATCCTTGTCCCTGAATGGGATGTCACAAGAGGGCAGTATTAAGCTTGTTAAAGACCAGAGTAGGATGTTACTGACACTTAGCCCAGACTGGAGGAAAATCAGGCAGACAATCGAACACTGAGCAGAGATTGTAGCGTCCACTGGGAGGAGAGGAGAGTGGCTGTCTTTAGTACCTCCTGGTGGGCGATGTTGGGACGACTCAGGTATTGACAAAACTTCAGGCAGTTTAGGAATGGGACCTGCAAAAATGGGAGGAACATATTGGATATCTTTCTACCACATTAAAAATAATGTATTAAACAGGACATTTATTTTGTAAAAGCTTGTTCCTTTTTTTATGATGGGTAGTTCAGTTATCCCAGAATCAAATATCTTCTAATTCTTGCCCCACTTTTATCATTGACTGCAGTGAAATCAATGCATTTTGACAACTTCATGAGACGTATGTGCTATCTCTCCACGGATTTTAAACAAATCTTCATTATTGTTCGTGGTTGATTGTGTTTTATGAGAACTTGTTCTCCCTCTCCTTTTTGGTATCTGCTGTCCTCGCTTCCCTTGCAACCTTTGCTTTCAAGGCACAAGGCTGCATTCGGCTCCCCTGGGGCCAAAGTTAGCTCCTGACAACGGGAGGAGGTTAGTTTATGGTTTAATCTATTTTTAACACATTGCATTAAAACCTGGCCCTATGAGCTCACTCTCTACCTGAATACTCAGCGCTCAGATTCCAGATAGCTACATCAGAGTTGAAGTGGAATGCCCTCAGTAATGATCTCTTAACATTCTACCTCCTGCCACTTCTCCCAAATAATCTTTGACTTTAAATATGATGTCCTGTCCTGTCAGTGCAGACTGTTTCTGTGCTGCACCAAATCTTTTTTTCGCAACCTGGCTACTGTATTTAGTGCTTCCAGTGGACTTTGTATTAAATATTATTAATAATAATAATGGCAATCCTTGCATTTGGTATAGCGCCTTTCGCGTCCAGTAGGTCATCTTAAAGCACTAAACATGAAATGGAGGGACTACATTTGTTCTTGACTGCAGCAGCCCAGCTGTACACAGCAATATCCCACAAATAGTTTTGAAACGAATCACCAATTTTATTTGATGGCTTGTGAGCCAGGACCCCCCAGGAGATTTTTTTCTTTTGAATAGATAGTGCCAGGGGATCTTTATTGTCCATCTGAACAGGCCTCGGTTTAAATTCTCATATGAAGGATACTATCTCGGACCATGCAGCACACCCCCAGCACTATGAGTTCAAAGACCCAACATGGACTGCCATCTGACCCAGAGGGGAGAGTGGAGTAAGGGAACTTGCCCAACGTTTCGCCCTCCGAGAATTAAACCCAGGTTCTCTCACTGTTTCCTCCACAACCTCTTCATTTAAAAGTGAGACAGTGTCTGCACTGTATGGGATGGATGCTCGAAGAGGCTGAATATTTAGGTAGCTTGTGTGGAGAAAAACCTCAGTGCAGACTGTTTCTGTGCTGCAACATTCTATGATTTTATGACGCTGTAAGACGGTGTGGGCAACTCTGTAATAATATGAAAATGGTCCCTTAAAGGTTTTTGGACGGTGTTTTGACTACCTACTATTATTATTGCTATTATTATTATTAGTTGGACTGTGATTTAGAGATTGCTGTTTATATTGTGTACTTGTTATCTATATTTACAGATCAGGACAGACTCCATCAGATCTCACACCTTGCCTATACCACCGTCTTCCCCACAGACCAGGATCAGTGTGCCACATGTGGTGCCACAGCCCTCCCCGCCCCCAACGCCCCCACCACCTCCTCTGGCAACCACCCCTTCCACAAAATACAGCACCATAAGCAGGCAGCATCCCTCCACCCAGCCAGCTCTACCTGCCTTCAAGGCCCCACTGGTACTTCAACAGTCCTTGCCTCCACCCCCACCTTCACAGCTTGTGAAGCCCCAACTGGTTTTATCAAGTGGTGGCCAATGCTCTCCTCCACCATCACCTCCCTCACCGCCCCCACCTCCTCCTCCTCCTCCTCCTCCTCCACAGATCCACACTTCATCTGTTTTTAAGGTTGGACCCCCCAGCCCCTCGCCTGCGCTGCCTCAGTTCACTCCCCCACCGCCACCACAGAAGTTACACCAGCATAACCATGTTCTGCCATTGGTCAAGGAGGCCCCCACTCCTCCTCCTCCGCCACCACCTGCACCACCTCTACCGCAGGGTGCCATCACCAAAAAGTTGGGGGCTCCATTTGCTGGGCCCACACACCAACCGCCTCAAACAGCTCCCAAACCAGCAGTGCCTAATGCTTGCCAAATGGAGCCCCCTCCACCTCCACCCCCTCCCCCAGCACCTGCCCTCCCGCCAATGATGAAAATCACTCAGATGCCACCTCCACCTCCTCCTCACCCTACGCTGAAGCAAGCCAGTGTATCTGTAAACCAATCCCCCATCCTTCCATCCCCCACTATTTCCATAGTGAAACAATCTATAAATCAGTTCCAGCCCCTACCCTGCGCTCCAAAGGTATCCCCGCCACCCCCCATTCAACCCCCTACCTCTCCCCCAGCTGTGAAGGCAAAACCTAAATGGCAACCCACTTCGCAGCTTCCATCCCCTGAGTTCCCCCCTCCGCCACCTGAAAGCAGCTTACCCCAGCCACCACCTCCACCGCCAGGGCCTACTGCTCCTCCCACTCCTGTTAAGTCGGCCTCGATCAAGAAATCCCCAAAATCTTCCAGCCCTGTAGGAAAGAAGCCACCTCCCACACCCCAGCGGCATTCTAGCATGAAAGGACCCAATTTGACTGACAGCAGGGAGCCACGAAAATCTGTTGACGCTCACAGCAATGTGTTTGAGCTGCCACTTGTGTCTCCAGGACCTCCACCCCCAGAATCTGTAGGACCCCCACCAGCCCCTCCAAAGCCTGGTAAATTAAACTTGGCTGCAGTTAACCTCATGTTCCCACCAGCAGCTCCAGCAGGCAAAGGGCCAGTAATTCCAACTGCTTCAAAGGAGCCTGTCTCAGAATTTCCCTCTCCTCCATCAGATTCAGACTTTCCACCTCCACCCCCCGATTTGGATCTTCTCCCACCCCCTCCTTTGGAGATGGCCACCTCTGGCTTTGCGGGGACTGTCCCACCTAAGGTTGCAGTGGTGAACCCTCAGCCTCAGACGTGGTCGAAGGCTTCAATAAAGAAGGCGCCACCACCCGTGCTTCCCAAAAGGAGCGACAGCACTCGCTTGACACAGGGAGAGTCTGTGGAAAATCAAATCCCTCCCAGCTCCCCGGTACCAGTGTCTCCTAAACCAGCGTTGTCCGTACAGCCCCATTTCCTGGCTGACCTCAACAGGACTCTGCAGAGAAAATCCTTTACACGGCACGGCTCACTGCCCTCTGGACGCCTGTCCAAGGCAGAGCCCATCACCACCATGGACGACATGGCGCTTCCTCCACCCCCTCCTGAGCTGCTTCTCGACCAGGACTCGTCTCGCTTGTACACATCTGGCAACATCTCAGGCTATGCAACATTACGACGAGGACCTCCTCCGGCTCCACCCAAACGGGGAGACAACACCAAGCTGAGTAGAGATTGATGATGAGCCAGGCGCCTTCAAACTATGTCTACATGTTCCTCCATAGACTCCTAGTCTACAGTATTCAGCCCAATGCATTTGCTGCCTTTTTTCAAACTGTGGCTGTATACAACTTCCAACTGAGTTGAATCAATCTGATCTAAGTAGGATTCCTCTAAATGAAAGGCTTGGAACAATGAAGTATGGTGTTTCACTTGTAAAGTTAAATAACTCTACATGTGTAAATGTAAAATGCTTTGATATAAAATGGGACCTTGTAGTGGGGGTGGGCTGCTGTGTTTGGTACATTGCAAACCACTGAATAATGGGAGTAGGGTGCTTCATTTTGTGGTGCATTGGAAAGCCCTACCCATTCTTAGTGGTCCTTAGTGTAAGGTCTAGTTTCCCCACTCACTCGGACACATTAATGGCTGTAAGTAAACAAGTTCAGAGTCCTGCTTTTGTCTTCAATCAATCAATCAACCAACTATTAGCAGTTCTCATAGGACATCCAGGTTTGAAAAAAATCGATGTAAGTGCTAAATTACTCGGGAAGGGAGAGACCAGGATTCAGGGCACAGTGTCCTGGAGCCCTTTTACCCTGAAGAACGTTAGAGTCAATCAGCCATGGCGGAGGGACCCTTCTTTCTGTTGGCTCTCAACATTTAATTATTTCCCAGTGGAAATAACTCTGAGATCTCCTGAGTCAACACTTAGACCAAGTAACCTGCCTCACTACGGGAGGCCGCAAGATAGCATGTTGCAGATGGGAATAACTTTTAGGGAAGGTAAAGAAACTGTGAGTTGGGGCAGTAAGTTAAGAGCAGGGTAACCTGGTGATCGAAACCTAGTCTTTCCTCACCTTGAGTATGAAGGCACAGAAGACATGTTGCACTGTATCCTGAACTCCTGTTGAGAGTGGCCTGAACACAAAGCAGAATAATTATAGACAACAGAGAAAATGAATGGAGCACTCCAATCTCGGGGTATAGCAGTTGCTAGTTCAAAAAAAATCCACTTGTTGGTTGGTGATTTGGGGATCTTTGTCCAAAGTGGACTCCAATTAGTTCATCCAGGACTGAAAGACCATTTCAACACAACGGTGCATGTCAGTGTTTAACTCCCTCTTTGTTAAACCTTCTTTGACCCAAAGCCACAACACAAACAGACTGCAAAAAAATAAACACAACTCCACATGCAAGGTGAGGCTCTCAGGCCAGATTGATTCAATATTAACTTTTCTCTGGCTCTTACAAGCACTTTGTATTAAAACCAATGGTGATTTTCTCTCCAATACCTTGGTTCTCCATGTGTTTTTAGTTTGTTTTAAAAAGCAGGGAAAGGCTGTCTTAATGTGTAACCATAGGAGTCCTTGAGTTTTGGAGTCCTTGAACAAACTGCAGAATGCGAAATGAGAACCATAAAACAAATGGGTCCTCATTGTAAGATTTTTATTTGAGAATAATGAAGTTAGTGAGGTGTCTGTGTCGAATAATTCCATGTCAAATATGTGTCTTCAAATATTGTGTTCGGACTTGAAAGCCTGTGACTCCCAAGTGAAACCAGTGGCCAGTTCAAAGAATCAAAAACAGAAGTGTGCTTTTTGAAAACATACCAATTGAATATTGTGTGTACCAATATAGATCTGCTGCTGCTTGACTCTTTGTGCAGAAAAGTTCCAGGATCTGGACAAACAGTATATCCATGAGCCAGCAAATGATTGAAAGTTCCGTTTGGCCAAGTAGTTTTGTAAGAAGTACAGATTACGGTTGCCAGAAAAGTTTATTGAAGCCATTTAGTAAAGTAGATACTACCAGTGATAGAAGATTTCAGGCTGTTGACCTTTGTTCGGGCTTTGTTTCCCATCATCATTATTTTTGTTTATAAAATGGTAGTTGGCGCATTTACTGTTGTGGTGGTGGTGCTGTTATTTGAAGCGTTCACTAGCAGTATCTCTAGCCGTACAGATGCATTTGCAAAGTTGCATCAGCTCTGCTTTCACTTCAGAACTTTTTTATAAGGTAGATAATAATGTAGGATTGGAGAGATAATCCAAAAAGCATGCAGCTATCCTGGCCTTGCACCTGAGTGCTGATTGACTCAAGTGTCTCTGTGAGTTGCAGATGCAGAGCTGATAGGCACCATAGCCTCTTTGAACCATAGCTGAGGTGCTCTATTCATGCATTTTGTTAACGAGCACATCTCTTGGATCTTTGCACAGACCTATTTATTAATACAGGACTCGCAGCAGTCCTATTCCCACTGCCAAATGCTAATTCTCTGAGCTGCCTGCTGTTTGTATACAGCAACATCTGGTTTACAAGCCAGAAAACCCAGTGACAATCGAAGCCACCTTCTTTCGCTTTAAAATTACTAATCTGAAGAGAGACATTTTCAGCACAGAAGGAGGGCATTTGGTTCAAGTCTGTGCTACTGCTACTAAATCACTTTTTAATATCAATCCTGTTTTCCAGCTCTTTCTAAATCTGATGCCAATTGATGTTTCTAAACTATTGATGAGACCTGTATGTAACCGTGTCCCGGAGAATTGTACTGGGCCAAGCACCTGTATCTTTAGGGTTCTGTATCAGCACATTTCCACCACAAACTCCACTGTCAGGTAAACATTGACACCGCAGTACCTCATTTATAGCTGCTGGAAAGTTTGTGACAAAATTAATGGTGCTACAGTACAGAATGAGCAAGCCTGGACCACCTCCTCCACAAGGAAGCTGTCTGGTGCATAAGGGAATTTAAACTCTCAATTGACTGAAGGTATCATGAGTGACTAAAGGACACAGGAAAGTGTCATGTGGAGCTTTTAAATCTTGCTTCAAATATGAGGAAAATATTAAGACGTTTTAAAGGTCTAAGAGTTGGAGTCTTATAGTTTTATGAGAGGTAGCATTGATTTGGGCATGGCCCACGTATTCCTACTTTAGCAAAAACATTTCTTAAGAAAAGGTAAGCTAACTTTTCTTGACTGCATTAATTGCATTTCTGGGAGTTATGAAATGAATAGCGCACAAAAGAGAGGTTTCCTCTCTCACTTGATCAGAGTGTGTGTACCTGGGTTAATTTGTGTTTCTTATTTTCATCCGCACAGTACAGTTATTTGCTTAGTGTAAAGGCAGCATCCAGGGGCTGAATCATGTTTTTGGGCTTCTCTTTTTTAAAAAAATCACTATTCATTTTTACAATTGTATTCCACCAATCAACTTGCAAACTGCTGTAGTACTGAAACATTGCTGCCAGCTACACTGCTGAGGTTGCGTCACTGTACTCAGCAGCTACACAGACAAGTCTACAGTTGTACTGTAACCATGATTTCACATTGAGATGATGTGACGTAAACATATTGTAATGCCTTTTTTTAAAAAAAAAACACGACCAAAAAATGAAAAAGAAACCTCTTACCTGCATCAAATGTGGGTCAGGCACTTGGGGAGTTGGAGCATGTCAGAAGTTGGTTGCAGTGGCCGGAAGTCCAGGCGTTGCCACTTGCTGCACTCCCAGCCCATTGGCTGGTTGGTGATTGCCCCTCGGGCCAGCCGGCTAATTGCTAAGTTGAGGGAGAGCCATTCGCCCGAGTGCCCGGCTCCACACGGTCCCACTGCGACCTGAAGCAACCTTCAAAGTAAATTCTACAGGCTGACTGTCCAGTCAATACTATATCTTTCTCCCCGCCTTGGGTGAAACCTTGGATGGTGAAGGGTTTTTGCCAAGTCGAGACTAGTCAGTCAGTCAGTTAAGCCTGGCCTAGGGCGCAGATTAACCAGAAGCCACATGAATCAGCCTGGTGACTTGTGTGAGTACTAAACCTGCTTGTTTTCTGAACGGAGTTTATTTTTTACATTTCTTCCTGAGCTCATTGCAATATTGCCATGTTCACTGATTTGTGGATAAAAGGCTGAATGTACCAACCGCTCTTCAGTTGGTTATCATGGCAAAACTTCAACACACTTCAGCAGTGCAGGTCACATGAGCTGACTACACTTTTAATTTTTTCTTTCCCAGAATGTTTTATCTAAACCTCTTTTTATACTCAAGTGTGTTTCTGTGCGAGTGTCTTGTCTTTTTTTCTGTCTTGTCTTTTTGTTTGTCTGTATTTCTCTGGCCTGTATCTATGTGTGTCTCATAACTGTCGGTATGTCTAGCTCTTACCCTCTTTTTCATTCCAAGTCTTCATGTGCGTTTCTCTCCCTCGCATTCTCCACCCTACCAGGTCAGTACAGAATCTTGGGGTCCTGTTTGACACTCAGCTGTCTTTTAAACACATCCGTGCCATGATCCATTCTGTCTTCCACCTCTGCAACATTACCCACCTCCACCACTGTCTCTCCCCTGAGGCTGCCAAGTCCCTCACCCATGTTTTTATCATGTCTAGGCTACATTATGCTAACTCCGTGCTCACCAGACTTTGCAAGCCTTCCCTCCCCAAGCTGCAGATTATTTAGAACTCTGCAGCTTGTGTATTCTCCCACATCAAGCTCCGTGAGCCGATTACCCTCATTCTCATCCATCTCCAATTGCTTCCCATCCCTCAGAGGTTTGAATTTCAGATCCTGGTCTCACTTTTAAAGCCCTCCACAGTCTTGCTGCTCCCTACTTCTGTAACTCCCTAAAACCTTACCAAGGTGCCTGCTCCCTTTGCTCAGTGGGCACTGGCCTGCTCCATGTCCTCCTCCCAGCACACCCGACCGTCGGTGGTCAGGCGTTCAGCCTTTCTGCCTCCACCCTCTGGAACTTCATCCGATAGTCCTTTCGCCTAACCCCTCCCTTGCCTCCTTCAAAGCCCATCTCAAGTCCTTCCTTCGATCATAGTCCCACTTCCAGCCCCCTTGTCCTCCATCCCTCTTGACTCCAACCCCAGCTTGGGTGCAAACCCCAATGTGAAAAGCACTATATAAATGCAATGTTTGTTGTTGTCGCTTGTATCTCTGTGTTTGCACAACGTTTGTGCATCTGTCTCTGTAGGTTTGTGTGGGTGCGTCTACATCTTCTCAGAATGTACAGGTAGAACTGAATTCTAACTGAAAAGTAAACTGTGATTTGGAGCACAGGAGTTGAGCAAGTTTTTGCATCCTGTATCTTAATTGATAACAAGATTATGTGTGACCTCTCTGATAGGTGCCCTTTCTGATAACAAGATCTGAGCAAAGGGGAAATTCTCAGACTTGATTTTTATTTTGGTCCTGACCCTAAAGAAATCACAGCTTTGAAAGTTTCAGCAAAAGGAAGTGTATTTTGGTGCGGAATGTGCAAAGAGGTGTGAAGAAATGGGAAAGGATTCTGCATCTCATTTGTAGATCCAAGTAGGTAAATTAGTGTAAGATTTGTGATGTATCCCAACCTTGATAGAAACCTAGAGTGATGCCAATTTGTTTCTCTCTCTGCCTTCCCATAATCTTGGCAATGACAGATAGATATTCATGTGGAAAAAGATCCGGTTCCTAGGGGATGCCTGATGCTATTGGTCTGTTTAGATTCCATGGAGTAATTTATTTCCTTCCCAACTGTTTTAGAAAGAATTGGTGTGTTCAGCTAATAGGATTGTGGTCACTTCCTCTGCTTTAGGCAGTGTCAGTTTTGCAGACTGTCAGGAGTGTATTTTTATAAATGGATTTTCCATGTATCTTGCCAGACATTGATCTGATGTAATTTTTATTGCAGCTGAGGCAAGGAGAGGAAATCCACGGCTAATCACAGCATTTATAAAACAAGGTTGAGACTGTGGGCAGAGGAGAGAAAGGGTCAGGAGAGGCGATCAGTTTTTTTGTTACCAGAGATTGTCACTGTGGAAGACTGTAAGTGTAAGAAAGAGCAAGGAGAGGTGAGTAGATTCAAGTGACTCGTGTTTGTCACTGCATGGAAAATGAAGTGGGGATGCAGAGTGTAACGGAGTAGCTGTCTTACAGATACAGATTGCTGGTTGCTGACATACCAAGTATGTAGTATGACGTTTGCAAGGTTAAGGTACTGAGATGGGATGCTGATATCTTTGTATACATTAGTTAACTGCATGCTGCTATACAGAATTCTGCATTTCCCGATGGCGTTTTGTTTCACAAACAATCTCAATTTTGATGATGGGTGGGAGGGAGAGAGGGGGTTCTAATTTGCAAGTAATTGCATTGTTCCATTTGTAGTCACTCCATGGCAGTTTGTGGGACATGGCTGTGTGCAAATTGGCTGCCACGTCTGCCCACAAAATACACAGTCAATGCACTTTACAGTAGGAACTGTGAAGTGCTTTGAGACATCTTGACAATGTGATGACACTTAATGTCAAATGCAAGGATTATTATTATTCTAACATTTCTGTGCAATTGTCGGACCTGACAATTATCTATGCCTATTGTGAGTGTGCCAGCTTACGGTTATTTTACTTCTGCAGGGATGCATGTTGCTCCCAGTTGTATTCTTTGCTGAGCTGAAACCTCTGCATTTAGCACGGAACTGCACTTACATGTAGTGGTAATGTTTCACACATGAGCTTGTATTCAGAGGCATCTAGTCGTGGAGCAGTGATTGAAAACATGCAGTGAATATCGTGGTGCTGTTTATGTTAAAGTTACCTGTGCTATATATACATATAATTTCCCACCCCACACCTACTTTTGAGAGCCATTCAAAATCAATATCACACCAAGCAAAGTGCTTCATGGAGAGTGTTTGAGTAGTTTTGTGTGTTTATTAAGGGAGATGTAAACATTTATCAGGTTTTTTTTATATTTTCACATTGAGCGACTGCGAATGCATCAACAAAGAAGGGGAAGATATCAAACAACACACAGGGAATGTGTTGGTATAAGGTGGTTCTCAATACTATCATTCGTTTATTCGCTGACCTGAATCCGGAATCTACATATGTTTCATCAAAAAAAAACAGATGAGTTATATGATGTGGGCAGGGATACTATGAGACAAAGGGCTATTTGAGCGCTGGTGAAGGAAGAGACTGGAGGGGATGAGTTGTACCAAAGAAAAACAGAGGATTTATTTTTAGCCAAAGAATTATTTGGAAGGAGAAATTGGAAATGATCTACTCGTCTTGGGCTGGGCAGTCCGGCATTCTTCATGGTTCAAGTACTGGATTCTTCATCTTGCTTTCCTTTGAAGTCTGTTTTTGCTGTTGTGGACCATTCAGCTTCTAAAATATAATTGTGTAGAGAGAGAGTCCTGGTAACAATTGTCTACAGTCTACCTACCAGTAACCATTGAGGAAGGCCCAAATCATGGTGCTCGCCATCGTTTATTGACACCTCCCTCATTAAGATGTTGGCATCCAATTCTGATGTTGTCTTCCATTGAGCTGCTGTGAGGTTGATGTTGTCGCTTATTGCTCAGCAATGGGGCCCGTAATTATGCTATTTGAGCCTCAGACCTGGATTATTTTCATTGTTTTCCCGGTTCTTTTCTAGACCCCAACCCCTCACCTCACGTTATCTTTTCCCTTCTCCAACATCCTCTCCACCTCTGTAGTTTCTTCTCTGTATTGAAGATTCTGAGGTGCAGATTGTTGTTGCTGCCACATACTTGTTGATAGAAAACAAATCACATTGAAGGAGGGAGTACGCCTTCTTACCCCCTCCCCCCACACATACACACACACTCTAATGCCACAGCTTTTTAAACTATATATATATCTGTACTGTATATGTAAAATTGTTTAGTAATTGATCTTGACATTGGTTTCAGTCTGGCCACCAAATGCCCAGCCCTACACCTCTTGTACCTTTTTCTAGCATTATGAGATCGGGATCAAGGGTTTTCGAGGATCCAGGTATACTTAATTCACTATTAAATTTAACTTCATGGGGATGAAAGTCCATGCTGGTATTTGTACAGTTCTTATGAGACTGTGGAATGTCTTTTGCCTTAACGCAGACGGAATCTGTAATGTTAGCCTGTTATCTATTCCCAGATGGCTAAAAGCACATTCATTCCATCATGTCATTGTCCAATTAAAGCCATGGGTTTTTTGTCCCAAGATGTGTTGCTAATTTTCATTGTAAATTTTTTTTTAAAAAGTTTGTTAGATGCTTTGAAAGTGGGTGGACTGTGGGTCTTTCTCTTGTTGAACTGAAACCGCTTGGCCCACAAGAACAGGCAATCTCTGGTTCTGGGGATTGCCAAGACCATTGGGATCAAAAGAGAAAGCTAAAGGTTGGAGTTGAAGCATAAAATTGTACATATTTTACCCCCATGTTCACTCTAAGAGAAGAACATATGCAAATTTTTTTTTAAATGTAAACTCTCTAAAAATGTATTAATACTGGAGACTGTAACTAATGCATGACCTTATAACACAGCTTTTATGACAATAAATTGATTTCAAGTTATTCATGGACTGCCTCTCTGTAATTGTTCACTGCAACACCAAAATTCATATTAATTCTGTGACCCTTGTTGGCTTTTTGCAGTACTTGTTAATGCTGCCTTCCAAAGTTATTTTTTTTCTCCAAAGTGAACAAGAAAGCTGAGTCAGCTGACCCAACAGTGATTCCCTTCTCCGCACATTCATGCGTATGTGCGCACACACACACACGCACACCCATCACACAGGAACAAAGAAATCTCGTGAAGAGCCCTTGAAGATGTACAATTCTATCTTCAAGTTGAAAACAGTCAATTGGGGCAAATTGTTGAAGGACGTGTTAGAGGTTCAGCCTAGCTCAGTTGCCTCTGGTCAGATTGTGGGTTCAAGCCTCACATTCCCTGATGCTTGTTAGTAGGATTTAATAGTGTGCAAAATGACTGCTGTGTTCTTAGTCAATTAATTCCAATTGTGCAGCATATGAATACAGTAAACAGGATTGAATTCACTCGATCACAAGTTTGGTTTGGATGAAGAAGACCTTTCAACACTGATATACCATGTGCTCGTGGTTGCTATTTTCACATGTATGCGGATGACACCCAGCTCCATCTTTCTGCCTCCACCCTCTACTCCAGGACCACTGTTGTCCTGACAGACTGCCTGTTGGACATCAAGCTCTGGATGAGGGCAAATTTCCTACAGTTGAATATGAACAAGACTGAGGCCCTCCTGATTGGCTCGCGCCAGCGCCTCTGCACCTCAGGCTCTGGCAGCATCAACCTCCATGGTTGCACACTACAACTCACCAGACAGTCAGGAACCCAGGTGTCTTGTTCAACCCTCAACTGTCTTTTCTCACATTTAAGCCATGACCCGCTCTGCCTTCCCTCACCTCCGTAACATCGCCCAACTCCGCCATTACCTCACCCCTCAGGCCGCTGAAACTCTTGTTCATGCCTTCATCACCTCCAGGCTTGACTGTGCAAACACCCTGCTTATCGGCCTTCCCATCTCCTCCCTCCACAGGCTGCAGATAATCCAGAACTCTGCAGCCCGTGTCCTCTCCTGCACCAAACTCCGTAGCCCGACTCCATTGGCTCCCTAACCTTCAGAGGATCCAGTTCAAGATCCTGGTCCTCACATACAAAGCCCTCCATGGCTTTGCCCCACCCTACCTCTGTGACCTCCTACAAATGTAATCTTGTTGTTGTTGTTTTCTACTGGATGACCACAAAGCTACGGAGTTGCAGTCTATAACAACTCACATAGGAGAACATCACAAAGTATTTTATAATGATGGCATGGTGCAGGGTGGAAGGAGAAAGGTGGATGATGGGATTTGAAAGAGAGGGAGTGAGTTGGAGGGATTTAGGGAGTTTGAGAGAGCAAATTGGCTGATTGAAGACTCACTCACTGATGGTAGGATAGAAGATACAGGGGACATGAAGCAAACGAGAGTTCCACAATTGGTGGCCGCGCTTTCAGCCACTACACCCCGAAACTCTGGAAGACTTCCTCTGCCTTGCCCCTTCCTTCTCCATCTTCAGGTTGCGCCTGAAGACCTTCCTATTTGACCGTGCCTACGGTCCCCTCCCCCTGGCTTGGCGTCATGCTCCACCACGGTCAAGTGCTCTGGGACCTATCCTGCATGAGGAGCGTGAGACAAATGCAAGTTTTAATAAAATGAAGGGAGTGGGTGGGAGAGAAAGACAACATGAGATCACAGAGATGGGATAAGGTGTGGAGACATTTAAAGGTTAAGAATGTGTATGAAAACACGTATTTGTACTGTAAATAGGGAATGAATGTGATTACTGTACAGAAAACCAAGTTAACTGAACTACACAGAATGTATTGCTTGTGTCCTACCTTTCATTGCTTTCACAAGTCATTTCTCTGCTGACACCTGCCTTACTTCCATTTGCAAACTGCATGGCCAGGCAATCACAACTGTGCAAGGAATGAACAAGCCAAGAATCATAGAATTATACAGCACAGGAGGCCATTCGCCCATCTGTGCCAACTCTTTGAAAAGAGCTATCCCAAATCAATCCCACTCCCCACTCTCTCTCCCTTAGACCTGCAAAGTTGTCCTCTCCAAATAATTATCTACTTCTCTTAAAATTTCTACTCACCTCCCCTCTGTTTCTTTTAACAACTATTTTAAATCTGTGCCCTTGGGTTACCGACCCACCCGCCAGTGGAAATAGTTTCACCCTATTCACCCTATCGAATCCCCTCGTAATTTTGAAAACTTCTATTAAGTCTCCTCTTAACCTTCTCCGCTCCAAGGAGAATAATCCTAGCTTCTGTAGCCTCTCCTGGTAACTGAAGTCCCTCATTCCTGGTACCATCCCAGTAAATCTCCTTTGTACCCTCTCCAATGCCTTGACATCCTTCCTAAAGTGCGGTGCCCAGAACTCAACACAGTCTCTCGCTGAGGCCTAACCAGTGTTTTATATAGGTTCATCATAACTTCCTGAGTTTTGTATTCTATGCCCTTATTTATAAAGCCTAGTGTCCCGTATGCTTTATCTACCACCTTCAAAGATTTACTTATATGAACCCCCAGGTCCCTCTGTTCCTTCACTTCCTTTACGATTCTGCCATCAGCTTATATTGCCTCTCCTCATTCTTCCTCCTAAAATGCATCACTTTGCAATTCTCTGCATTAAACTTCATCTGCCACGTGTCTGCCCATTTTACCAGTCTATCTATGTGCTCTTGCAGTCTGCTACTATCCTCCTCACTGTTTACTACTTTTCCTAGCTTAGTATCAAAATAGAAGTATCTACAAACTTGGAAATTGTACTCCTTAAACTCAAGTTCAGGTCATTTATATAGATCAAAAATATCAGTGGTC